ACAGAGCTGACGCAGCTAAGCCTAACTCACCAGGTGAAACAAACTGTGGTGAGGAATTGATGAGAGGAAAAGGATCCTAAAACCTGTGAACACTTACCTGGTGGGTTCAACAGGGGAAACTTCTGGTGGGACTGAGGTAGGAAGCAGGGACCTGCAAAGAGAGGAAAAGAAAAGGAGAGGTTAAGACCTAATCTCTCTGGTTTTGTTTGCAACTGGGTGAGAAAAGTGAAAGTAAAGCTGTGGACTGGAAGAAAAGCAGCTGCGAACCATAACTGTAAGGAAGAAGCTGAATAAAACCAATTTTCCTTTTGCTTACTAGCAGGGTGGTTGATTGCATGATCTCTTAGGGCTTAACATCTTTTTCTGTTCTCTCAATAACAAAGATGTGGCAGGTGAGTCCCTGAGGGGGAGAATTCATCCATCTACTCTACCCTAGCCACACATACAAACCACTTTTAAAATGGCCAAAACCAGTTTAAGACAAGCCTGCATGGATGTAGTATTAGACCTAACTGATTTAGGTCAAATTGGTTTATTCAACTTCTGTCCCAGATCCCCTCCAGAGTCAAGTTAACTCACAGTCCCCCAACAACCCAGGATGCTGTGTTCCTCCCCCACAAACCCTCCCACACAGGCTGGGTGGGCTAGCCTTGCCTCTTGCTGTCTGCTCCAGCTGAGCAGGGAGGTGTACTTTAGCACCCCCCCAGCGTCTGGCCTGAGCCACTGCGGGCACGTAGCTGCATTTCCAGAATCTAAAGTGACTGTCTGTTCACTTGCTTATTGGTTCAATCTACGCACTTTACACTAACCTAATAGATTGAATCTATTCAGCCTCAGGTTTTCTGACTGTCAGTACTTACCCCTTGAGTCTGTGCTCTAACTACTTCAGTACTAGATAAAAGGAAGTTCCTCCACTCCCTTTCAGGTGTTCTGTATAAGAAAAGATTGACCCCTCCTCAGTTTTTGAAAGAAAATGCTTAGTAAAGGCCTAACTCCAGGCCTTACACTGTGAATCCTTAGTGGAAGATGACTCCAGAGTAAGACATCAGAATCTTGGAAGGAGGAGGAGAGTTTAAATATACCCCTATCTTTGGAGCTTCCTCTTGGCTACTTTAGGCCTCACTGAATATAGCGGCTGTTGAAGCTCCTGTTCTGACATGCCTGTCTCTGCCTATGCATTATACTGAGTCTAAATATAAGCAGTCTAAATTAGGACTGTTATTCCATTGTAGGAGCCAGGCAGGTAAAAGTTAAGGTCGAAATCCCTTTGTGGCTCTAGTCGGCATCAGGAGCTTGGCTTTCAGGAGTTCTAAGCTTTCACTGGCTTCATGAGGAGTTGTAGGTGTTTTGCAGCTTTTAAAACCACTTAAATATGTCTATTTTAGGGGTAATAATCTAATTAAACTGACCATTTTGCATGCAGTAGTGCAAGTGACATGCTGCAGAACTCAGAGTGATGGTACTGACAACTGTTTAAAAAATGCCTTTAACCAAGTACCCATTTGGCTCTTATTATTCCAGAACTAACACTGGAATTTTGCCTTCTCACATGTACATGATGTTCCTACTAGGTATAAAAAAATCTGTTTGGAGTAGCGGGGAGGGCAGAGTTTTATTTTAAAGATCAAGTACATTAACTGAAATTGTGAGTTCACTTTTAAGTTAGATTTTTTTTTTTTGTTCTCTTGAAAGTAAAATTCTTTTCTTGCAATGGAAATTGAAAAGCAATTAAACTATCTTCTTACTGTTTTCTTCAGTATGCTAGGTTGTTGTATTTTTATATTATTTAATGTGAGAGAGAGAGAGGAAGAGAGAGGCTATTGACTGAGATGCAAATCTATCCATTAATTGAGAAGAATTATGTCTGCAGAAAGTGTTTTAGGTGGGGGGGAAATAACACAATATTTGCTCTTCTCTCTGGTTTTGATTCTGTGTGCAGCACTGGGTACATGAGTGGTTCCATGGCATTCAATGGCACTACTTGCATACTTAAAGCTATGCGCATCTTTAAGTATAAGCCTGAATAAAGTCTTCTATTTCTATTCTCTCCAGGCTACTCAAAATGTTTGTTACACTAGTGCCTGTGTTCCCTGAGGATCCACAATAGAGCATGTGATATAAATTTAAATGGTGAGTTTAGAAGCAATAGCTTTTTAGATCTTCCATAATATGCTGTATTTTCTTGCACCTAATACACAGCTTCCCCCACTCCTTTGCTGGAAAACGGAGTGCGCATTACATGCAAGAAAAATGGTAAGAACAGTTTCAGCCTTTTACTAGGCAAGAGCAAAAGTAAAATCTGCAGTGAGAGCAGAATAATGAAGAGGCCTGGCCCCCTAGCTGCTACTATTTAGTTAGTTACTACAAGGAAAGATCTTTGTTCCTTTGTTCTGCTGTTCAAAAACAAGGTGTGTTTCTTATTCTGGGGCACGCTGCGTGCAACAGAATACTGTAATTCATGCCAGAATGACATTTCAAAGAAACTTTTCAATTGAAACGCTGCTTTTCATCAATAAAAAGACTGCTAAAATGAACATTTCCATGGAAAATGTGTTTTCAATTTCTTTTTTTCAGCTTTCTCCATCAAAAAACTATCAACTAAAAGTCTTTAAGATTTTTGGTAAACAAAATGTGAAAAATCATGGACATCTGAGCAAAACTTTCAGTAAAACCAAAAATTTCAACTGATCGGCTAATTTCTTTTGTTTTGTTCATTTCAAAGTGGATCACACTTTTTTGGCATTTTTAGTTTTATTTTTATGATGAAAAAAGAAATTCTTCAGAGGAATGTCCATAAAAATGAATAAAATCTTAATTTTTATCATCATTTGCAGTGGAAAAAACCCTCCCCTTCCTGATGAGATCTAAGAAAGGCCACTCTTTTGAGCTATTAAAACACACTGGTGTCAGATGCATACCTAAACCTCACACAGAAAATGAGGCAGAATAGATACTGTATTTCTTCATTTTACAGATGTTGAACTGATTTGACCCCTCAATGAAGGCTTAATTAACATGCCTTCTGGAGGAAGAAAAGTGTGCAATTACTTGCTAACAGAATTGGGTTGCTGGAAGCTATGAATACCATCTCAGATATAGGTCTGTTTATGCCACAGTGATATTCATTGCATTAACACATCCTTCTCTACGCCTGGAATGATACTTTTTTTCTAATTAATGCCAGGGCCTGTGAAACCACCCCAAGAACTATTCTGTGATTAAACACACACGTATTTTAATCAAAATCATTCTGCACATCTGTGCTTAGGGGATCAGAGGTTTGTGTTCCTGACTGCAGTCAGTAATTTTCCAGACCATTCCCTTGCCAGCACTGAGGGCCAAGCTGAGCTTCAAGGGGGCCACTAAGGGTAGCTGAGCTTCAATTTACTGTGAGGTAAAACCATACACATGGCCAATTTATTACTGAGCAGCTGAAATCCGATCCCTTTTCATCTCCTGGTCAATTGTCCATACCAGGGGTTTTCAACTGGGGGTACATGTACCCCAGGGGCTACTTGGGATGGCCTCAGGGGGTACTTGGCATCTGGTGCCGCTGGTGGTGGCAGCACTTACTCTGCTGTGCTATCGGCATAGTTGCTGATCAGCCGCGGGGGACCTCCCCCCCCACCCTCGCTTGTCTGGCCGCTGGGGGACTCCTGCCTTCTTGACTGGCTGCTGGGGGTACACTGACCCAAAATGTTGAAAATCCCTGGTCCATACCAATAGTTTACATAACCTACTGAGTGCTCAATTCTCTCTTGTCCTCTTTTATCTTAAAGCCCTTATATCAGTATTTGCAAAGCTTCTTCTCTTTTGTTCTTTTTAAGACCTCTTTCCTTTTAATCCTTGCTTCATGTCAGTCTCTAAACTCTGCTGCTGCTGGAATGGGTGTCTTCTAACTCCAGTGTTTGTCAGGGCATGGCCTGTGGCTCAGGGCCATTGCAACAAGAGCAAACCGAAGAGGGGCACAAGCAGTTAGGAAGTTAAGATTGACCAATAAAGGAAGTGAAGATTTTGTTATAGAAAACCCAAACGGATCTATTGTATTAATACATGAGGGCAAACATATCCTAGCAATGTAGGATTGGAAGGGACCTCAAGAGATCACCTAATCCAACCCTACTCTAGGATCAAATATGGGTAGAATATCTCCAACAGATGTTTGTTTAGCCTGCCTATGTAAACTTCATGAAGTAACCTGTTTTTTATTTTAGGAAATGGTTTTATCCTCAATATCTATCCTAAATCCTGTCTGCTAAACAGTTGAGCTGATTTCTTCTTATCCATCTCCCTTGTGGCTACAGGAAATAAATGAATACCACCCCCTTTATAACAACTTTCTACATATCAGAAGACTTTTATCATATCTTGACTCAGTCTTCTTTTTCCTGGACTACAGAAGGCCAATTTGTTCAATCTTTTCTCATCAGTCTAAATCTCTTATTATTTCTGTTGCCGTCCTGTGGACTGTCTCCAGCTTGTCTGTATCCCTCCACAAGCTCTCAAAGATAATCTCTGAACCACTAGCTATTATCTCAATTAGTTCTTTAAAATATGCCAGGGTGACTTTCATGAGGCCCTGCTGAGTTGGCTATACTTACTTATCTAAATATTCTCTAACCTGTTCTTTCTGTAATCTCCTTCTGAAAATTCATTAACTGGTCACAATTTATCTTTTTTGGTGAAGAGTGAAGCAAAGAAAGCATTGTTTACTTCTGTCTTCTTTGTATCAGCCACTGTTCATGCTCCTTTCTCATTTAAAGTGGACCTAGGGTTCCATTGTTTAACTTTTGCTTCTTATGCCTTCTATTTACCTTGATGATTTATATTCTTTAATTGTATATGTCCTTGTGTAACCTCCCATGTCGTTCACTAGTGTGTTTCACTCTTTCTGGCCTTTCGGAGCCACTGTCTCTTTTTGGGTCGACAGCTTGTCGTCCAGGCAGATACCTTGAAAGGTTCCCAGGGATTCTCACCTGCCACGTCTTGTTGGTATTGGTTATTATTGGGAGGATGTTTTTAAGTCCTGTCTTCCCCGGTTCCCTCCTTTGGCACTTTTGCCCAGTCTCCCATATCGGGACTCCACCTCCCCTACACCCTGCCTTGCACCAACCAAAGATGTTGCTTCTTGGCCATGGCTGAGACAAAGTCCACTTGCCACAGTAAGGGCTTTAGCCCTTATAGGTTCAAAGTCCAGTTCGGATGGTGTACCATCTGGTTTCTGGCCCCACGTCAGCCTGACTTGTATTTCTTTTCACCCCTGGTTGCCTTGCTCCCAGGTGCGCTCCCTTTTTCTCTCAGTTTTGACTCACAGTATCTGGTGGCTTCTCTTCTCTTTCTTTCCCCAGGCTCACCACTGTTTCACTCCACACCGGCTGTGTCTGGGATCCACGGTCCTGTCCCAGGTAAGAGTTCAGGCTCTGCCGAGCCAGCATTGTCTGGGCATGCCCCCTCTTGGGGCTGCCACCACTCACCCCTGTTGGGGCTGGTGATCACTCCCGGCCACTTTGGGCCTTCCAGAGGACCCACTTCCGGTCCTCCCCGACAGTTGTCCAGCAGGGTTTTTATTCCCCCCTCTGAGGGCCAGCCAGCAAACTGGCGTCGGCATGCCACCATAAAACATGCCCATGCTGGTGTGAGTACACATGCTAGTTCTCCCGCAGCCCGCTGTGGCTGCTTCAGCTTTTCTTCTCCTGGTCTCAGCTTGACCCATCCTCCTGCAGCAGTTTCTCTCCCACTGCGCTTCTGGGCCTCGGCAATGTCCCGCCAGCTCTGCCCGTCTCTCTGCTCCCTCCTGAAAGGCAAGTTTGTATTCATGGCGGCATCCCTGGCACACTTTTTTTCCATCTAATGTACGATCCCTTTCTTATTTTCAGGTCACCAGAAAGTTCTTTGGGTAGCCATAATCGTCTCTTACTATGTGTCCTAGCTTTCTTTTGCATTAAGATAGTTTTGCTGTTGTTGCATTTAATGAAGCCCTTTTCAATAACAGCTAGTTCTCCTTCACTTCTTTATCCCTCAGTTTAGCTTCCCAAGAGACCTTACTTACCAGTTCTCTGAGTTTTCTTTCTGTGTTTGCTTTTTGAAATCCATTATCCTTATCCTACTGCTTTCAAGCTTCTTTTCTTTAGAATAGTAAGTTCTTACAGTTTTATAATCGCTTTTACCCAAATTACCACATTTACTTGAATACAATACAAGGGTTGTTTTTTTTTACCCCCAAACAGCATGGGGAGGGGGGGTGGGGGGAGGGAAAGTGGAAAGCCTCTCACCTTATTGCATATAAGGAAATCTCATTAAATGCATTGCCTATATTTAGACTGCTGCTAAAAGCAGTATGTGCTCTGTAGGGATCCTGGGTTTTTCTGTTTAAAAATAGCAATTTTTCTGATTAAGAAAAACCAAAATCCATTATTAAGATGAAATGCTACTTTGTGTGTGTGTGTGTGTGTGTGTGTGTGTATCAATTGAACACAATGTTTTATTGATATATTTACAATTTTAACCAATTTGGAAACCAACAAGTGCCTCAATCACTATAATAAAATCATTTCTAAGTACCTATAAATTTTGGTATTTGATTTTGGGTTTTTTTTATCATGGAAAATCAGAGCTTCCCCCCAACCCCCCTGCCTTTGCTCATCTGGACACAGGTCCAGGCCCCTCACCCCCCACCAACAGCCCCCCAGCCGTGTCAGAGGGGGCCTCCAGTTGCCAGGACTATGGTGCCAGGGACCTGGGTCTGCAGCCCTCTGCCCCCCGACAGCAGTGCCCAAGCCCTGGCTGCCACCTGTGGGAGGTGGCAGCTGTTGTGGCAGAGTGGAGTGCAGAGCCTGGCTCCCCCCCCATGTGGGCTTGGGCTCCCCACCCTGCTGCCCTCCCCCTAGTCCTCCACAGCCCTGTGGGCGGGCAGTAGGGCAGAGCAGGATGGGCTGGGAAAGCCTGTTGCTACTGCTGGGAGTTATGTACCACCATGATGAGGTGCCCCCGGCCTGCTCAGCAGCAGCAAAGGGCACAACTCTGCGCTGCCACCCCAATTGCTTCTGGGTAGACACAGGACACCTCACCAGGGTGATTCCCTGCCTGGCCACGCTCTGTTTCCTATTTCCAATGATACCTGTTTCTTCAGTAGCCTTAAATGTCTGGCAAACGTCACCAAATGAGGCCCCAAAGAGTTCACCCAGAATCCCTCTGTTGCCCCTTTTCTCAGCCTGTTGCATATGACTACTGTGGTCCTGCCCTTTATGAGGTGGTTGGACCAGGCTGCCCTGCACCTCGTCTGTGCATACATTTTTGGAGGATCACAAGACCCATGACAAGAACACTCAGTTCCAGTTTTGAGTGGGGGGCTAATTAGCACATGGACCGTGTGTATCTGGAGTACACACACATACTGAGCAGTGCTGAGCTGTGGAGTTACCATGACTGACATACTGTTGAAACACTTGAAACACTGTTGACTGCTGGGGCTCAGCCCAATGAACTAAAAGGCAAATCATGAGCCTTTTGGCTTTTGACTAATATCATGCATAGTTTGTACTATATGTAAGTAGGTACAGAAATGCTGCTTAAAAATGAGTTTATGGAGTACCTGTGCTAAAACATGCAGCAGTTTTAAAAAAGGGAAAATGCATCAGTTCTGGATGAACTAAGGTTATAGGGTACCCATATTAATATGCATATTACTACAGGCATGTTTACTTCAAAGTCAGTGTTTTCAAAATGAGTTTCTCATTTCCATGTGCTCAGGGAGAGCAAGGTCTGATGGGAAGAAGTTGCAGGGTGGATGGGCACAGAGGGTAAGGGGGCCACCTGAACCTCCCAGACTTATTTTCCCTGCTATAGCAGGGAAGAAGGATAATTCAAGGCAAACCTCTAATAATTGGATTTTATACCTGGAAAATTATAGCAAATTTATACATTTTCCATATATAGACTCTAATTATAGGGGTGGGGGGTTGTCATCTTATAATCAGGATCATCATATCTTGGAATAAATAAGGTACCTTTCACCTTTAGTTTTTTTGTCAAATCCTTTTATTTGTTGGAACCAAATCTAAAATACCTGCTCCCCTAGTTATTTCCTCTTCTGCAACAACAAAGGTGTTCTCAGCACATTCTAAGAACTTGATGGACTATTTGCATCCTGGGTAGTTAAAGCCCCCATTACTACAATTCTTCAAAACAAGGCTCATTTATCTCCCCACCCTGACTGGAAGGTTTAGAGTAGACTCCTCCCATGATACCACCCCTTTTCTTTTTCCTTCCTATCTTTGCTCAAAGGCATTCAACATACCTGCCTCCCACTTCTCCTATACATCAGTGATGTACAATGCAACCCCTCAGCCTTTTCCTTGCCTGCCCTTCATTAAGCCAGGGATGTCAAATTTGCCCTGCCTCCCTCTGGCCAAATCTGAACAGGAGATTTTCTTCTAGGCTGGAGCTGGATATGGTGGTGGGATAAGAAGTAAGGTGACCGGCAGCAGCAGTGAGGTAAGTGGTGAGACAAGCAATGACCGTAGGGGTTAATGCAGCCATCACTTGCCCTCTGCTGTCAATGTGCACCCCCAACTGGGCTTCATGCCCCACATTTCGATTATGTGCCCTGTCCCAACTTAACTTGCCCCTGAGTTTCTGGCTTATCTGGGAGCCCTACAAGCCAGATGAGATGGCCCGTCCCATGATTCTGGCCCTCAGGCTGTATGTTTGACACCCTGTTTTATATCATATGTTTTATACCCTTCTGTACCAATATTCCAGACCCACCATTTGTCTTATCAAGTCCCTGTGGTGTCAGTTAAGTGTCTGTTAAGTAAATTATATGACTCAAGATAGGATCACTAAATTATGTAAGCCAGATTTTGCTCTGGGCTGTCCCTCCCCCCCCACCCCCAGGATACACATTGACCTCAATAGGAATAGCTCACATACATGCGAGAGCAATACTTTGCCTAATTACCTTTGAAAGCTTTCCACATTTTTTTTGCATTGTAGACTGCAATAGAAAAAGCATTTCCTGAAAGTCCTCTGGTGCTTCTAGGCTCAATAAAACATTATCTGGGTGTTTCATAATTTTGGAAAGAATTTGTTTCTGTTGGTTGAATAACCTCTTGGAAGCCTGAACATGAAATCTGTTTCTTTGCTGAAAGGTTTTTGTACCATTGTGAATTTGCCAATTCATTATAGCACGGTAGTATATGATTGCTTGGCTGCTAGCACTGATTTTGGTGGTGATGGGTTGTGGGGGGAAGAGAACTGAAATGTTGGGGTTGAGGAAAACAGATATACAGAATGATGAGACAGGCTTAGAAAAGAGTAAGAAGGGGTTCAATCTTGCTCCAGTGAATTCAACAGCATGATGTCTTCAGTTATATATTATGGGCCAAGTAATCTTCAGAGTATTCTATTAAGAAATCAGCTGATTTTCATATGATTTTTGTTATTAAGCAATTATAGCTACAGCTAAAACATTCTACAAACCTGGACTGGGTAGACATTTTCAAACAAAAAATTTATACGACGACTTTTGCCGTCTTTTCGATTAATACATTTGCAGGCTGACTTCTGTTTGTTTTTTTGGCTTTTCATAATTATTTGAGGACACTTTCTGTGCAAAACCATTTCCATCTCTGTATATTTTTGTTGTTTTTTACTGCTTCATAGTACTGGTAGGAAAACTGAAAAGTGTTTACGCACATTTGTTAAAAGTAATCCTTGTTTTTTATAAATAAGTTGATTTTGCTTGATAAGAAACGTATCAGCTCTGAACAGTCTCATGACTGAATAGTCATACATGTCTGTATTTCCTGACTGGTTAAATGTTACAGTAAAGGAAAGTGTGGGAGAGAGGTTAAGGCACTGCCCCCATTATTCTTACAGGGTAAGGAAAGAGCATTTTGGGGTGTTAGAAGTGCTTAGATGGACGGGGTAAGGAACTTTTAGGACACAAACACTTTTTTTCTCTCTCTGCAATCTGAATTGGGTCATTTCTGAGGCATCACATCTAAACAATGAGGCTACTGGGATATCATAGGTGGGTGTCACTTCTAAAATCAATGGTTGGGAGGCAGACATTAGAAAGAAGACAGCACTAGGACTGCAGGCCTGGGTGACAATCCTGACTGTTCCAGATGTGCTGTTTTATGGAGGGTGGGAGGGGGGGTAGCTTGAGAAAGATGCTGGCTCTGCTTCTCCCACCCTGTTATAAAGTCTAAGCTGCTTCAGTTTAAGCTTCCATTTGCCTCAAGTCAGGAAGGTACACGCTGGCAGTTACAGCAGAGCAGCTGACAGGCAAATTCTGTTCCCTTCTACCCTGCGGTAAATTGATTGTATGTCTACACCCTAGACTGCAAGCTTCCTTACTGTGTTTGTGAAGTGGGTGCTACACTGCACATTCAGTGTTAATGTAAGACAAATAATTATTCCCTTCCATTCTTCTCCCCATATCTCCTTTGTCATCAGTCTTCTTTTTATTTTTTTCATTTGTATTTCCATCTCCATTTTCTCCTTAATGTTCTCGTGTCCCCCTTGCACCGCACCAGATCAGTAATGGTGGTTGCTATATTATATTCATTTCTAGTTC